CTCTACCTAACAACAACTAAACAAACAAACAACTAACAAATTTAAATGCATTCACTAACTAAAGTACATGTACATGTACCTTAAAATTATTTATCCTCTACTAAAATTACTAAAAATGTACATACAATGTACATGTACATGTAATATGATACCAGTATTATTAATAATAACAATGACAACAAACAAAAGTGACGTTACATGTACATGTACATGTAATTATTATTATTAATTAGGGACACGCCCCCAGTCTCAAATTGCGGCAACATGTTTACATGCGTTTACTTAATAAAAGAAAAATGAGAGACATTTCAATAATAATAAAAAATAATTATCGATAATTAAAATGACATTATCCATGACACCTGTCAGTAACTTTGATACAATTACATTAATTAATATGAGGAGTAATGTAATGGGTACTATACATGTTAATACAAGTGTTGTGATGGTTAGTATTGTGAATGAGATTAGGTTACTTACTGGTTTAGTGTTCTTTAGACTGGCATTTCTTTTAACAGTTGCTATTTGAACTAATGGGGAGAGAGAAATTAAGATAATAATGTAATACCCAATACCCATACATGTACATGTACATGTTACTGTATATGTAGTGACCAGTGTGTGTGTGTGTGTGTCTGGAGGTGAGTATCAGTAATATAATACCTGAGTCCCTTGATATCTGCCCTCAGCTTCACCTCAAGCAGATATCTCAGTCCTCAGGTATTACATTACTTATACACACACACCTCCAGACAGGCTGGACTACATGTACATGTACATGTACGCTATAGCAGGGGTACATATACATGTGCATTATTAGTACCTTCGTATTGTGCGTTGGATTCTCTGTATTGCTTCAATTCCTCTTCTAACTTTTGTCTCATTACCAATTCCAGTTTCTCTTTCCTTGCAGTACTGGCCACCATTGACCTGTGGGCCTCTTGTAAGGATTCTAACTCCTGCTCAAACTGAGGGGGAGAGGGAGGGAGGGAAGGAGGGAGAGAGAGTGGAGGAGGAGGGAAGAAGGGAGGGAGAGAGGGGGGAGAGGAGAGGGAGAGAGAGGAGAGGTGAAACCATGAGAAAGAGAAGGAGGGAAAGTCCAAGAGAGTGGGAGAGAGAGAGAGTGAACAATACTAGTTTACTCGTGTTTACATTATACACATACAAATATTCATAGGCCGAAATAACAAAATATGAATAATAAAGAGAGAGAGAGAGAGAGAGGAAAAGAAAAAATTTAGGGAACTAAAAAGGGAGAGTAAGAAGTACATGTAAATGTGTATAATACTCACCTTTTGTAACCTACAGACTCTCTTGTAGTAATAGTCCAGTTCTTTCTTAAGGTCAGCATTCTCTTCCTTCATTATATCCAGCAGGTGGGTCGATACCACTTGTGAATGAGGTACTGGTGTTAGGGACTTCAGTACATGATGAGATGAGAAGTTATGAATACTATTAGTGGTGGGCAGGGCATTGGGAGGAGCCTGATAATCCTACAGTATTATAAAAAAATGAAAATTACATTATTATTTCTGTGCCACTAAAAATGTCATTTGTAATTTTCATTAACACATGTATTGTCATTTCTTTAGTGCATATTGGTTCCTCTATATAATGGACACTTTGGGTACAAGAAAGTGTCTCTGCTATACAGAGGTGTCCTTTATGTGGAGGTTATTTTATACAGTAAGGAATGTAATTGGTACACTAGGTGCTGTCCGTTAAATGGAGGTGTACGCTATAGAGAGTGTCCATTAAGAGAGACTATAGTGTATAGCATTTTGTCCTTTGACAAATACAATGTATGATTGGGAATTTTCACATTTACAGTTATAATAAATAATAATAATTCTCACGTTAATTAAATCATTGAAACTTTTAGATTTGCTGTGACCACCTCCAGTAGTGGCCCCTCCCCCTCTTGGTCCGCCAGTGGGTGTGGCTACTGTAGTGTCGTTGCCGGAAAGGGGCGGGGTTGGTATTGAGTGCTCGTTGATTGGTAGGCGTGGCAAGGCGGTTGTTAATTGGTGGATGCGTAGATTTGATATCGATTGAATTAGAGTTGAACGATCAGAAGTAGTGATGATTGAGAGATTAGTATCTATTAATAATAATAATAATAATAATAATAATAATAATAATAATAATAATAATCTGTTTGTTATTATTGAATGAGGAAAAGTAACAATTATGCATTCTTACCAATGAAATTTGGAGTTATTTTTGATAGAAACAGCCCATCAACATGATATTCTAAAAGAGGAGGGAGAAAGAGAGGGAGAGAGAGAATGAGGGAGGGAGGAAATAAATTAAAACATAAAGAGATTGAAAAGAAGAGATCAGCAAAGAGAGAGAGGGAGGGTGGGGGTATTATTACACCATTCAGTATTTCAAAATGTCATTATTATTAAATGGGTCACTGGTCACAGACTAAACACGTCATTATTGCACACTTACCCTCCTCTCCCTCCCCCTCTCCCTCCCTCCCTCTCTCTGCCACATGCACCCTCTCTCCCCTACCTCTAAAAAGTGGAGAATAATCTTGTGACAATCTCAAACTCTTCAACCAGCTCAAGACATCCTCCACGGTCCATTCCAACAAAGGGACGATATTTTCGCCTCTAATCCTTCTTTCCAGCGACATTTCTTTACCCAAACCAGCTCGCCCGTCTCTTATTCTTCACTTCGAGTCTCCTTTTTAGCTGCTTTGATTCATCAAAGAAGAATGGAATTTTGTTTATGTAATGAGGAGAGGTGCCACGCCCTCCTCCATCATGTGTTGCTAAGCTCCATTGGACTGCATTGCTGCACGCTGCGACTTGCTTGTGGACACAAGACAGGAAGAAAGCTGAAAATATCTTAACTATTGTATTACTTCATCACTTAAGTATGTCTTTGTTTACTATTGTATATTTTATTATTTGTAGGCTTTGAACTGCTGCATCTGATGGCATTCGGAGTAGATGTTATCATTCTTTGTAGTAATAAAAGTTCAATCATTCCAGTCATTCTTTTACTGCTACTGCTGGTAAACAGGCCAACTCTTTCATCCAAGGTAAAGGTATTTGTACACAGGGAGAACAGTAAGCAACCAAGATTATTAGCGAAATGGCCATTTTCCAATCAATTATAACAACTTAAACTGATTCTTTGCAAATGAAAAAGAATGCTTTTTTTGAATTCCACACAATCAGAGCCTGTGGAGTGAAAGTTTAATTGTATCAGGTTAGGCATAAAGCTGGCCTGCTCAGTTAAGATAACACCATTAATTTAAATGGGTGTGACAATCACATTAAATTAAACTGTAACCTTGCTCTTCTTATATGTACTACTACAGTAACTCTTGCCTGATAGATTGAATAGGGAGGAATGTCTTCTTTGATACCTTATTGTTTATTTACATTAATTATTGTAGGATTGTGATTGGTCGGTTGGTTTTGATGACTACACAGCCGAAGGAGATGCACTTCTTAACTTTAAACTAGCACCAACTGAGAACGTGAGTACTACCATGTATAAACACATGTACATGTACAGTGCATGTATGTACATGTACATGCATCAGTGCATGTATATATGTACATGCATGCATACCATTAACCATTAATAATTTTGCTGTGTGATTGCTTAAGCAATCATGAAAAATTTTAAAATTTTTGCCAACTTACCAGTACTTATTAATGACCTATTGCCTATTGATGGTTGATAGGGTCACAAGGATATCATTGCAATGCTGACCTGTGAGGATATACTAGTGAGAGGGACTGGACAATTGTACATCAGACTACATAAAGTAAAGACTATTACCGTATAGCGAAAAATTTTTCAAGGGCTGTACATTTTGCGTCTTTTTAAAATTTATTGAAAAATCACGAAAATTTCTTCTGCTAAAATCAAAATTATTAGGGCACAAGATGGTGGACAGTATAAATTCGTGAGAATTAAATCCACAAAATAGATTTTTAATAGGCAAATTCGCAAAATTTACAGCCCTCAAAAATCTTGCGCTATACGGTATAATACTGCCATGTGGAATTGTGCAAGTTTTATTTATTATTGTTCATATAGTTTGTTGAAAGTGTTGCTCAGTTCAATGTTAGCCTCCCAATGCCTCAAAATATGAAAGACTTTGTTCTTGAGGATAACTGGATGAACCATGTCTGCTCATTTGTCACTAAACCAAGGTACAGCAACAATAACGTACACATGTGCATGAAGGTAACATAATGCATGTATACATGTACATGTAAATAATAATGGCGCATACATGATTGATAATTCTGTAGCTACATGTACATGTACATGTAAGAAATTTGAAGAAGGGGAGTAAATCATAAATAGGACCCTACATGTACATGTACATGTATGTAAAATTAATAATCTTTTTATTTGACATTAGCTCATTCATTTTATTACTACTCTTGATTTCATGTAGGCATAATACTGCTAGTTCTGAATCCAGTGTTTGTAAAGTCCACATTAAGTCACTGGTGGGTAGATTCATACCAACTTGTGAGGAAGAAAGAGGTAAACACTTGTTTGTGTTATTGTTTGTGTTATTGTTTATTTTTGTTGTTTGTTGTAGAGGATGTTATTCTTCATAAAACTGAAGTCAATAAAGAATTAAATCAAGTCTATCTTTATTTGAAGAACTCTCCATTGGTAATAATAATAATAATAATAATAATAATAATAATAATAATAATAATAATAATAATAGTAATAATAATAATGACTCTGTGGCGGTCCAATGCCCAGATGTGGTTGGGTCGGTCTTCCATTTTGTCCCCTGAGGTGGATGGCCAACTGTAGGACGTTTTGTTTCATTTTTATTTTATTGTCATTTTATTTTGTTATTATTTTATTATTTTTATTTTATTTTATTTTCCTATTTTTGGTTGGTCCCCATTTTTCGCTTCTATTTTTCTTCCCTTATGGGCTTTCCCTTTTTGTCTCTCTTGTCTCTCATTGTGTATAATAATAATAATAATAATAATAATAATAATAATAATAATAATAATAATAATAATAATAATACACTCACAAAATCACAAAAGCTTTAAATAAAATTGTATGTCATACCGATATCATTAATTATGCTACATGTACATGTACATGTAGCATATACATGTACATGTACTTACAGAGTATGTAACATAAAAAAGTATAATATTCATAAAAGTATCATGAATTGAGATTTGATTTCAAGTACACACAGAACACACTCTTTACAATCACTCTCTGTTACCTTCTCTCTCTTTCTCTCTCTCTCTCTCTCTCTCTCTCTCTCTCTCTCTCTCTCTCTCTCTCTCTCTCTCTCTCTCAGGACGTCATTACATTCTATACTTACTGTGCTGGTAATAATTATGTTAATTATAATAAAACTAATGAATTGGAGATCAATCGTTATCCACTGACACCAAATCATCTCAGATCATCTACTGTATCAGTTGGATTCATGCCTGATTGCAAGTAATAATGATAATAACTATAGCTATTATTACTCTGACAGAAGTAATACCTGTCAATGTATAGTATTTGTGTAGACATTTTGAGTAAATTTGGACCAAAGACCCTGTACTATTATAGTACAGGGTCATCAGCCAAATTTTAGCAAAAATGAAAAGTAGAGAATTCTCCACTTTTATAATATTTTCTGATACATATACATGTTCTTATGTTGTGTAGAAAGTTAAAGCCAATTCCAAAGAAAATTTAATTTTCTATGAATTTTTAAAAATTAATTACTCAAAAATTGGGCCAAAGTCTTGGGACTTATACATGTAGGTCAAATTTCACCAAAAATGATAAGGAGAGAATTCTCCATTTTTCACATTGTATAATGCATATTTACATGTACACGTACTTATATTATTTTTTGTTGCAATGTTGTTATTATTATGACCTTATTCCTACTAGTGATATATCGATGGCAGTTGGAGGTGGTAATAAATATAACATTGAGAACTGTTCACTTCATTTGTACTACCTGTGTCAAGGAGGACATCAGCTCATTAAAACAATTCAACCAAAATTCAATGAAAGTGAGCCATCACTACACACACAGCTACTGTACATGCACATTAAGTATGATGATACATATACTGGTACATGTACATGCATCATCAATATGGTTGTGTATATGTAATGTACAGTATAGATGCTAAAATCTTAAATCAAGTCATGTACACTGTATACTTATTTATTCCATCATCATTTCTAATTGTTATTATTTCTGTAGAAGTTGTTGACTGTCATGCTCCCATATCATCACTTGAATCAGTCGGTAATGAGCTGAAACTTTATTTCAGGATAGAAAGTATCTCAGTGATAGCATTATCAACACTAGCACTTTTACAAGCAGCTATTGGAGGGGTACTCCTCACCATTCTGGTAAATCTACATGTACATGTACATAGCTATCTGTAAGTTCAGTGATTGTGAGCTTCAGCTCCACTAGTACTGTGCATGAATGTTTATGAAAGCTTTGGGTTTTCACTTAAATCACCATTACATATAATTCACCATTAGAGTGATGTATGTTTGTACCTTGTGTAAAAGGCATGAGTGCATTAATTTGTTGCTGAAAATTGGCCATGGCCCATCACTAATGATACTTTCAGTACTTAGTCCACATTATTAACTTGCATAACATGAAAATAAATAAAACAATAATACGTCAAATTAATACAGGGTTTGTGTATAACTACACTCTCCCTTACAAAAATTGTAATTTGGCAATTAAAGGTCCTAAACTCTCAGGTCTAAGATAATTATGATCAGTCGTTTTATAATGGTATAACCTGCCAATGCTCTAGTGGGTTGGTATTTTAGCACATACTTTAGGGAGTGTACCTGTGGCTTAACACCTTCTTACTTGAGTAAACAGCCAAATATGATGCCAAAATTAATGAATCAAGTTACTGGTACAGACCTGACAGGTATCATTGCTGATCATGCCTCTTGCTCTGGCCTTATCCAGTACAGAGGGTACCAGCAGTCCTTGCTGGTAACCCTTCAAGACACTCTTCAATCTGATAGATTTTATTTCTCTGTATGCCACATGTTAAATCTTGAGTCTTGTAAAATTTGATGAATAAATAAATAAATAAATAAAAATAAAAGTATCATGAATGTATCATGGTTGATTCCATGATTAAATCTTGACCGATTGCCCAAAATCCGTGATTCATGCCTGATATCAGGCCTGCATGGTTTCAGGACTGATCAAGCTGATTATATTTGGCTGAGTAAATGTGTCCATTATTGATTTGCACTATTGTAACTGTTTATGAATATTCTTTCTTTCTATTTTTATATAGTTAGTAAAAGGTGTGCATTTTCACTTCACTAGAGAAGATAAATTGTTTCTGAGACTACATAAAATAAAAAATAGAACCTCAACCCCGAGACACTATCAGTCATCAAGAAATTACAGCAGCAGTGATGATGATGATGATGACACTGTTACTAATAATAGTAACATGATGTACTCCAGTGAAGACTC